CCGTAAGTTGGCCAATTATTAGTTGACTGACTGCACACTGTGTAGTGTAATTCTTTTGATAAATTATGAAATTTGCTTCTTGAAGTTTTGGTTTGTTCCTTGATTTCTGTTATTTTTTCAATTTTTTGGAGCTTGCCACTACTAAAAGAAAGTGCATTCACGTTGTTGCACATATCAAGCACATTTACGTGAAAAATTTTGACAGCTTTAATTAGTGGTTGATTGCAGGAAAGGCGTGAATGTATATGCATGCACGTCATTAGGCCGCCGAGGGGGCGAAAAAATTGTCTGAAGACTGTGTAATGGAGAAGCGTGTCGGAGAATTTTCTGCGTAATTCTGATTGTTCAAACTTGCAAGACGTGAGTGAAAAAAAAAAGGAACTGAGTACTTCCAATCGTGGGACCGATGACCCCGAATTTATACGCTAGTCAGAAGCATCATCGCCAGCAGCAGCAGCACTACGCTAATCAGTATCCACGGCTTGACTATGAGGATTTGTTTGACATTGGCAGGCAAGTCAAAGAACTCGACAGACAGCTAGCTATCGTTCGAACTTCTCCGCCCAAGGTCCATGCTTCCTTCTTTAAAAACATTTCTTCAAAAATTTTTCATATAAAAGACAAATCCTTACTGAACGCAAACACGATTTTCGTGATAATCTCGTGTTTTGGAGAGAAACTTGAAGATTAAGAGCATTTTTGAGGATTTTGTGTGATTTAAAAAAAGTTCAAGACATTTTTATGGAGGCACTTAAAATCCAAATAAGGCACAAGCAGCCAAAAATTCCAGAAAGAGAAGCATATTCAAAGACCTGGCGACGAAGTGGCACTCATTTTCTGAGTTTTAGCTTGGCGATTATTTTCTTTCAGTTTCCTCATCCTCGCCCACTGTTTTAACCACTTGTGTAGGAAATGCATGAGGTGAAATTTCAACCTATCGTTTGATTATTCGATTACTTAATACAAATTTAGTAGCTCGCATCCAAAGTGCTACAAATTTAGCACCGCAGAGTGTGAATTTCAGATCTCCCACGATGGTAAGTTAATAACGATTCAGCTGGATATGTCGCGATTTGTTCCGCAAGAAATTGAGGTATTCATTTCATCTTATTTTGCAGCTTCAGTCTAATGTAATTCATGATTAGTGGCGAATTTAGGATTATCTACGTACTGGATAATTTTGAATAACTCAGATAATTGTTACTTGTAATTTTGCTGACTCCTTGAATGTGTGCTTTGTAAATACTTTTTTAATCCGCTTTTTAATGGCATGTCAATCAAAAAATCGCTAATTGTGGTGGGCAAAGTGAATAAAAATTGACTAAGTTTTTTTGTATTTATGTAATTTGTGCGTATCTTTACGTGCATGGCTGTGTATGTGCACGTTATGTGTGTACGCATGTGTACGATAGAGAATCGTGAGAGGTGATGAGGGCGAGATTTCTGGAGAAGGACGAGGAAAAAAAGGATGCAAAAAATGTATGCGCCTGATGAGCGGCGGTACGCGTTTTGGGGAAAACGGAAATCTTCTATGCGCGATCTGTGAACAAAGAAAAGGTGTTGGTAGTTTCGCTGGTGCTTTTTTGTCTTAGCTTGATCTATTGATGGGACATGCTGCAGATAACCGTGGCAGACAATACGATAACTGTTAAAGCTATGGCAACTGTATATTTGAACGAGAAGAATTCGGTTGATAAATTATTCAAGCGAAAATTAGCATTCCCCTCGAATATTGTGCAGGACACTGTTACAACGACCGTCGACCGGTACGGTAGCTGCTTCTCGGCACTTTTGCTTATTGCGAATTTCTTTTTAACGCTTGAATAGCCGTTAGCAGAATATTTTCTCGTAAAAATGTTCAGCAGGATTCTTCCATGATTTTGCTCCTTACATATGCACTCCGAGCGTTCTACAGAATTTTCTGCTTTGGTAAGACCAGTTTCGAGTTTTCTGTTTTCGACAGAATTTTCTGTTTTTCAAGACCAGTTAAAATTGCCCTGTAATCCTACATGCACCAGTGAATGGAAAATAATGATTAAGACGGTCCTTCCAAAAAGC